CTCATTTGTGTGATCCTGACAACCTGAGTCAGTACATATGAAGTAGGGGATTATTTACCTTGTTATATAGATGAAGAAACAGGCTCTGAAAAGCTAAATGCTGTCTCTGTTGCCACATAGATAAGACTTTTTTGATTTGGGGTTAAAATTCATGTGGCCTTAAAGGAGCCCCTGCATGCAGATCCTATAATTATATGGGACTGTGGCAAGGTTCGGTCCCTGCTCCCACTGAGTTGTGTCTGGTTGTTCTGTTGCATTGCCAGCCTTGGGTGAAACAGCTGCCCCCGTGCCCTATCTGAGATGCTTTGGGTATGGGTGCCTGGCACCAGCTTTCTGGGGGGGGCAGGGGGCCCAGCGCCAATTCTGGGGAGGCCAGGAGTATGGAAGGGTGGCAGAGCGCATGAGTGAGGCTCCATGCCCCCACTCCATCCCCGTTGTCCCAGGAGATGTCACATTTGAAGCCTAAATTCGAAGGTGAAATGATCAAGGGGTTGAAGATGGCAACCACAGAATATCAGATTCCAGTGTGAGCCTTTTCTGAGCTTGGGAACTGGTACAACTGCCATGACCACATGCCCATGACGCCATCCCTGGGCCATGGGGAACCAAAGGACTCTTAAGTGAAGTTTGCTGACCACGAGGTGCTAACATGGGGAGGAGACAGTTTACAATGAGTCGATAAGTTATTTGGAACAGATGACAAGTCGACCTAGAATGCTTATGAAAGTAGCTTGTGATCAGACGCTATCACTGGGGCATTCTGTACACCAGTGGTCCCCAACCTTTTTGGCACCAGGGACTGGTTTTGTGGAAGACAATTCCTCCAAGGGCTGGAGAGTGGGGAGAGCAGGGATGGTTTGGAGTTTATTCAAACTCATTACATTTATTGTGTACTTTATTCTAAGGTACTAGACTTTAGAAATCAATAGTTAGACTTCCTCCTTTTTTTCCCCCCTCTGTCTATTCTCCTATGTGGGATTTAGCAGGGATTTGAGGTGAGGGGAACACTGCTCATTGGGTGACATTCTGGAATCTCCTAGGTGCAAGCCTTTTTGAGACAGGAAAGCATATGGGACAGTGGGAGGTGGGGGGGGGAGGGAGAGGTAGGGTAGGGGAGCAGAACCAGTTTGGTGGTCTGAAATCCACAGAGCTGGTGGAAGGTGCATTTGATGGAACCGAAGAAAAAGTGGGTCAGACATTGAAAGGAGAGTGCCAACTAGGATAAATGAGGGCAAGTTGGCAAAGGTCAAACCCGAGTCCTTGAATGCCTCGCAATGGGGTAGAAGCTGAGTTGAAGCATCAGAGGCCTTTAGAGAGAGCTCCCATTCCAAAGGGGGACACAAGTCCTTGCAGAAGGTGGAGAAAAAATCTGCATCCCTCCCAGGCCAGGTGGTTGGATCAAGCCACTAAACACGAGCACGGGAAAGGAGCCTCAGCACCAGGCTGGTATAGAAGGGCCGTGTTCAGCTCTTTGCACCTTGCCCCAGAGAGCTTCTATGAGGTAAGGGCAGGATCATGAGCTGGGTCTGAGCAATTTGCTGTGACTTTTATTTTTTCCTCCAGTGCAGAAGTATTTGGGAAGTTGCTCGAGTACCTTAGCCAGGCTGGGGGCCGGTCACCCATAGCAGAAGACAGCTGGGGACAGCTGGGACTGACCCTTAGAAGTGGTAGTCAGTTCTTGAGTTACCAGTCTTTATCCAATGAGCTCCTGCTCTTGGGTGCTGGAGCAGGGGTTTGGGAAAGGCTGCTGTGTCCTGCTGGCCTGGTCCCTTCGTGGCGTCATGAGTGCAAAGCCCAGGCACTGGCGGGGAGGGAAGGGATGTCTAACTGTCATTTCTCCTCCTCCGTGAACAGCTTTGACTTATAAAATGAGCACCAGATATGTGGATTTATATTATCAGGCAGTCAAAACAGCCAACACGGATATCATGGCCAGAGGGAGGAGGGCTGATTGCCAGCTTATAGGGAGCAGAAGAGAACAACGTACTTAACTAGCCAGTGACGCCCGTAAATATTTGCAAACACCCTTTCAAAGTTCGAACGCCTAGGACTGGATCATTGGATGATTTGCTTAGAAGAAGGAGAAACAAAATTGACCTCCTGGTCTGAAGCAGCCATAAAAAGCAAGTGTGTGTACGGGCAGATGACCAGAAAGGGAAAAAAATTGTTCAAAGTTTAATAAACACAAAAGAGAATAAAAATAAATCTCAAGAGCGCTTATTTACAAACTTGATGGAAGGATAAGATTGGGGTGGCCGGGTGTGAACGCTGCATGTCTGTGGAAGTAGTGTAGGCCCCCAGGGTAGGGGGGGTGGTTTTTCACTGAAAGGAAAGGGGAAACCGACAAGATTGTTTACTCTTTCTAATGACAGGAAACCCACTGAAGCAGGCTTGCCCTTTCAGGATGCTCTTTCCAAGCATATTTGAAGCTTCTGCTCTCTAATGGGGAGGCTATGAGAAGATAAATGCAGAAACTAGGCCTGTGGAAGGTTCTGGCCAACCTGGAGAGTGTGTGAAGCCCTCCTCCCAGGCCTCTCTGCCTGGATTCCCAGCCTATTTTCAGCTGAGCTCTCAGGATGGGACCAGCCTGTTCTGGGCCGGTCCCATTTCAGCTGAGCTGTCAGGATGGGACCAGCCTGTTCTGGGCCGGTCCTATCCTGGGCTGGTCATGTTCCGGCAGAAAGGTTGATTTCTTCTTTTTTCTTTACACAGGTGGTTGGATTTTTAATGGTACTATCTGCCGCATTTTACATTTCAATCTTAAAACAACCAAAAATGTCAGTAGGCATTGCTTTTTTGCCAAAGGCAGATGCTACAGCAATGTAAATCCAAACTATAACAAATTTGGATTTGGGGGCTGTGGCCAACATCACTGCAGATTCTAGGAAGGATCCCTCACTGGTAACTGAATGACATTTTGGTTCATCTCAGTATCTCATTCACAAATGATCTTACATGGGGCAAGGACAAGTAATGTTGGTGCAGCTACCTTTTCAAACTGCTGTGCTGGCGGCTCCCATGACCCTTCTGCCTGGGTGAATGTTTGCCCTCCTGAAACTGTCCAGGAAATGTTTCACATTAATGATGCAGTGTGTCAGCCCTGTGTCTGCGCAATTGGGTTCTTTTCTCTGAAACCTGGATGCTTTAGATTTGGGGAGGTTTGTTTGTTTGATTGTTTCTGAGACTTTGGATCTACAAAGTTTCAGTTCACACAGTCGTTTGTGAAGCAGTCATCAAGCAGAGCATGGTTTGAAATGCATCACTTCCCCATGAAATGCTTTCTGAGAGTCATGGGACATGGGGAAAGGATGGGGAAAAGCCTCTGTGAGGGGAAAAAGTGCAGAGCTCTTAAGATGATGAAATGCTGGTGTGTTCGTAGCATCTGATTTTTCAGTGTAATCATCCCAGAGCAAGGATTTCCCAGGAAATCATGAAAGGTATTTATTTCTATTTTAAGATCAGTGAGATGGTACATTTATTTAATAAGAAGCTAGTCTTGCCAATAACCAGATGCTTAAGTCTTTCAAAACTCCTGTTGATGACCAACTAAACAAACAGTGGATACTGGGTGAACTTCATATGTGCAGACTCCTGTTCTAGTAGGTGCAGAAAAATATATGGAAAATACTGTCAGTCCTCAGGATTCTTAAAATTTCACTGGGGAAAACAAAATAAGCAAGCATAATAGCAAAATAATAAAAACATTTGTAAGTGGACTGTAGCCCTCCAGACTCCTCTATCCATGGAATTCTTCTCCAGGCAAGAATACTGGAGTGGGTAGCCATTTCCTTCAGGGGATCTTCCCAATCCAGGGGTTGAACCTGGGTCTCCCCCATTGCAGGCAGATTCTTTACCATCTGAGCCACCAGGGAAGCCCCCCCTTCCACCCCCCCCCCAAGAAAAGAAAACATTTGTAAGGGGCCATAAAAACTGAGAATGATTATGTTGTAATGAAGTGACATAACTGAGGAGGGGGTAGAACATCATTGAACCACCAGAGTTGGTTGGTACATTCCAGAATAATGAAAGTAAGTTTGCAGGAGATTTTCAAAGAGTATTGTAGGAATATACCTATTCTACCTATACTATAGAAACATACCTGTAACAGCTAGCCTGCCCAGTATAGGTACTTAATAAATGGGTGTTATAAAGGAAATATGGGGGTAGAATTCAAACTTGCTTTGGTTTTGTTTTAACCTCAAGTTATATATCCAAAGGCAAAGACAGGTTACCTCAAAATAACAGCAACATTCTAGCAGCCCATGAACTTGAAATTGTCGTGGGCTGTCTGCAAATCTGTGTTTTTCATGGCTCAGAGCAGAAGGCCTTGGGGTTGATTCTTTCCCTTCATTCACTAGGATTCCCTCCCACCCGTGAACATTTATGCCGAATAAAGAATTTTAAGACTGGACCTGGTATCACTACTATGTGTGTATTTTCATTCAACTGTCCTCACCCTAGCTTCACTAGAGGGTGTATTTGGTCCTGTGTGTGTCAAAGACCAAATTATAGAAGCCAAAAAAATGCAGTCCATGAACCTGGAGAGAGTAGAGTGTTTGGGTGCCAAAATTTCAAGGGAAAAAATACATGGGCAAACTGCTTGCCATTAGGAACTATTTTCTTGGCACATTTGATTAAAGTGTATGCAAGCCTGACAGCTTTCTCCAGGCATCAACTGTCATGAACTTGTTCCAGTTCATAACCATTTAGGATTTTCCACCATTCTGTCAACTTTCAAAGGAGAGGGTTAACTTCATGCCCTCAAATAGAATTGGAAGTGGTTTGTTAATCCCTTTTAATTGGCTACTCCTGTAACCAAATGCACATGTTTATTTTTTTTCCTAGTTCAATTGTTAATGATATTAAATTGGCCATTGGAAACGAAATCATTCTATAGATATTTCCCGTATGGTTTCTTAAGGCTGTCTAATGCTGCAGGGTCTTTTGTGAGAGAACAATGGATTTTTATCATTTTCAATGATTGCTCTAACTTTTTACAGATGCCATCCCGCCCACTTTCTACAGACCGTACTTTAGAATTGTCCGATTTGACGTCTCTGCGATGGAGAAGAATGCTTCCAATTTGGTGAAGGCCGAGTTCAGAGTCTTTCGTTTACAGAACCCAAAAGCCAGAGTGCCTGAACAACGGATCGAGCTGTATCAGGTAATTTTGTTTGGGTTGTTTGAATGGACAATGAATTTTAAGTCTTAGGGTAAAGGACTTAACTACAGACTGAGATTTTTCTGAACTGATATGACATTTTATATACTCACAATCATGGGACAGGCCATCATTTGTTATTCCTCTCACAGTGACAGCTCATTCCTGAGTTGCTGAGGAAGGCAGAACCTTTAATGTGAAGGAGGGGAAGCTCTGAGCGTAAATGGCTGGAATGATCATCCTCTGGAAGGCTCCAGTCCTGAAATTCACCCCCTACTCTGGAAAGTCAGATGGTGCAAGACCAATCCCTCCCCAAGGAGAGAAGTCAGCTACCTTTCTTTTCTCATCTGATGGCCATCTCTTTCTCCTTTTCTTCCCTTCCTGTTGTCTCCTCTCCATCCTTTTTACTCTCTTTTTTTCCTGTCTTTGCTACCTCTTGTCTCTTCACTAACTTCATCCAGCCTCCTCTTCCTCTCTGATTCTACTCAGGCTTTCCAGTCCATCCCCCACCAAATGCACATCCTCTGTTCACCTCTGCCCTCCATTATTTCAGGCAGCCCTGGCATCTCATCTCCTTAAGTACAGCTGTGTCAAAAGATGATGATGGTGATGATGATGATGGTGATGCATGATGATGGTGATGATGGTGGTGGTAATGATGGTGATGAATGATGGTGATGATGGTGATGATGATGGTGATGGTGATGATAGTGATGAATGATGGTGATGGTGATGATGGTGGTGATGATGGTGGTGATGGTGGTGATGATGGTGATGAATGATGGTGATGATGATGATGGTGATGATGATGGTGGTGATACCAAGTTACCAAGAGGTGAGAGATGTTCTTAATAGCTTATTACTCATGTGGCATCAGCATGACCCAAGATCTTTAGGGGATTCTGATGCACATGAAAGCATTGCTCTAAAAGCCCTGAGTCTAGTAGGGGAGGCAGACATGGTCATAATGAATATGTCATAGTGTCATATAAACACGGTATGTAGGGGGCAGAGTTGGAAAGATTTCACTATGGACTTGATGTTTGGGTGGGGCCTCAAGAAGCGTCTGTTAAAGCAGGATGAGGGATGGTCATTCTTGACAGAAGGAGTCGCCTGTGCAAAAACAGGGTCTCCCTTGAAGGGGCCTGTAGAAGATACTATAGAGATGGTGCTCAGTGCTAGAGGGTGAGGAAAGACTCAGGAAGAGGGTTGCCCTCCAGGGAAGGTATGTAAATGGAGACAAAACAAGGTCAAGGACTGACCCAAGAAACCCAGTGTTACGGAGGAAACATGTGAGACAATAAGACTGAGAAGTGGGCATATCTGAGGGAATAGAGGAACTGACATCTATAGGTGGAAACCTCTAATTGTCCTGGATTGTAAATGTTTGGAAATTGGGTGAAGACTTCTCTTTGCATTTATTAGGAAATTGGAAAAATTATCATACAAATAAATGTTGGTTATGAAATCTCGAGAATGAAGTTAAAGCTGTTAAGAGTTTTCAAATACTAGTTACATATGTGTTCATGAAAAGTGATTCTTACTATAATGGATCCTCAGGTAACTTCCTTGGAGACCTTCGAATTTTAAGGCATGTTCTAAAAGCATCAGACAGAGTCACCTTTCTGTGTACCAGACCCTCTGCTAAGCCCTTTATTAATGTTATCTCTGTTCTCACAGCTCTGCTATGAAGTTTGCATGATGAGGCATCTTTTCTCCCCCATTTATTGACATAAAATAGCCACATAACATTGTATTAGTTCAAGGTGTACAATATAAGGATTTAATATGTGTATATATTGCAAAATGATCACCACAATAAGTTCAGTTAACACCCTTTGCTTCACATACTCACACGTCTGTTTTTCTTTGTGGTGAGAACTGCTAAGATTTACTCTAGTAGCAACTTTCAAATATTCCATATAGTATTGCTAACTATGGTCCCTGTGTTGTACATTACATCCCTAGAACTTACTCATCTTACAGCTGTAGGAAGCTTGTGCCTTTGGACCACCTTCACCCAGTTAAAATATTCTTTCTACTCCTGTATTATTTCTTCTTTTTACAGAAGAAGGTGCTGAGTCACAGAGAAATTAAGTCACTTGGCCAGAGTCACAGAGCTAGGAGGGGGCAGGGCTGGGATACAAGTCCAACTCTGACTCCCCAGCGTTCACTCCTTACCACATGTGCTGTTTGTAGCAAATCCTTTCCTACCTCTTTGCCTCAAAATCAGCCAGAGTAGAAGAAAAATAAGAGAAACTAGGCCGGCCAGAGGGTGGAGTGATATTTGGAGGGAAAGCAAAGACTGAGTTCTCTGAAAAAGCAGCTTGATCAAAGTTAGTCAGAGATATTATAAGATGATTTGAAAATTAAAAACATGATTCCCGGTCCTCCTTTTTCTTCTTTTTTCAATTAAGACGCTCTTACATGCCTCCCTGTACAGATGGATTGTGCTCTCTGGCCCTGTTTTAATTATGTGACATGTGACTTCAGTTAATTGAAGGCAAGGTTTGTTAAGTTTTGTTGCCTGTAATGTAAGCTGCTAAATCACTATTATTCTTTGGCTCCTGACTTTTTGCCCTGAGGTGTGACCTCTGATAGTGGAATACTGATGGTTTATCTTCCTCCCAGAGGCCGTCTCATCTCCAGGAGGGGATCTGTACTTGGAGGCTGGAATTTAGAGGACCTTAATGAGTCCTCAAAGGATGTGTACGTTCCCAGAGATTACTGCAGCACTGGCCGCCCCATGACATGAGCAGCAAGCTCTGTTCCAATTAAAGTCCCCAAATTGGAAAAGATGGGGCTTCCCTGGTGGCTCAGCAGTAAAGAATCTGCCTGCCAAGCAGGAGACACAGGTTTGATCCCTGAGTTGGGAAGATCCCCTGGAGAAGGAAATAGCAACCCACTCCAGTATTCTTGCCTGGACAGAGGAACCTGGTAGGCTATAGTCCATGAGGTGTCAAAGAGACGACTTAGAGACTGAACGACAGCAATTGGAAAAGATACAGCTCAAGATGGAAGCCCATTGAATGGAGACTGTGACCTTGGGTTTGTTCAATGTCACTGAACACAGGAATCTGGGAAGGAGGTAGTTTTCAGGAAAATAAGGAAGACTAACATCTCCTTATCTATCTGGAGCTCAGCTATGCTGCAGTCTAACCTCCTGAAACACAGCCAAGGTCCAGAAGTAAGTCAGAGAGATCCCTGAACACCTCACAGAAGACACAGCAGACATGCAACTGAATCACTGGAAAGGCAGCCTTTGGTCCTCTCTGGGACCAAGAAATTTGAAGCACTGATAGGAAGGAGTGCTGGAGGAAGACACTCTGATAGGAGGAGGTGAACCTTTAGACTTGCAGTGTTTGCCAGTGCACCTGAGTGATGCCAGTTCAGAAGATCAAGTCGCAGAATGCAATGTCTCTTACGGACAATTTTCCTAAATCTTATCCTGTTTGTAGTTAACCCAATCTTTGTCTCTGTGGCACCCTACCTGTCTTCTGATACCTGCTGTGGCCTCATTGGAAATCCAATTTTGGCTTGTTTTTCTCCAACTTTCCACTTGCCTTCTGCGCATTTGGAAGTCTTTGCAGCCTTCAGTGGTAAAACTCCCTGGTATAAAACTCCCTTCTGTCAGGGGGCAGAAATGGATGCTTATGATAACAGCCTTGAATTACGTAGGTGAGGCTAAATTATATTTGGGTAATAACTTGAACACATGCCATAAAATGCTAGAGAGTTTTATATCCAAAATTGCTTACGGGAGAGTCAAGACACCCGAGCTTCTGTGGAAATCATGTTTAGTTTGGCAAGGCGGCTCTCTCCTTCCCCTCTCTACAGAATAGTCTGTCAGAGCCGTGATGAATGGTGGTAACATAAAACCGTCCTGTCCTCCTCCTACCCCTGACTTCTCTTATGTTCACAGACTCCAAAGAGCATATACTGGTGTGATCATGATATGACTTCAGATGGACAGCAATATCACACGGAATAGGAAAGGGATAAAGCCTTCTGATATGAAGGGAAGGAGGAGGGGGAAAAAGAGGAAAACTGAATTTTTTTTCCAAATAGCAGTGACCCTTACTGTATTTTTAGAGATCTATGCCAAAGGCAGCCTTTATTGAAATGTGCTCCGATAAAGCTCCAGTGCTGTGGGAAATGTTTTTGAACCTATTAATATTTAGTAGAGCTCTTAGCCTTTTTGGAAAATTGAATACATCTTTATTTGATTAAGTCATGCTTGTATTTATGATTAAAATCATGCCCAGAGTTATGAGAAGGAGAAAAAAATAGGAAAGAGGAATCTTCTTCAGTTTGGATATCGCCAGCATGAGCAAGTGAATCTGCCACCTTGGAGGAAGCTAAGTCCTCAAATTTACAAGAGAAGAAATGAGTCACCAAGAAATTAATAAGTTATTTAAGGGTGTCTCTGACCTTGTGGCCACATGGGACCACCAAGGAATACTTGTGTTTAGGGATGCTGACCTCCAAAGACCTTGGACCTTCCAGCTATTTATAGCTTCCTCTCACCAACTTATACCCTTTTCACACTTACTGCCCCCCACCTTTTTTAAATTGAAGTCAAGTTGATTTACAATGTTGTGTTAGTTTCAGGTGTATAGCAAAGTGATTCAGTTATATATATACATATATATATGTATATATATATTCTTTGTCAAGTTCTCTTCCCTTATAGATTATTACAAAATATTGAGTATACGTCCCTGTGGTGTACAGCAGATCCTCAAGCTCTTTGTTTTTTGATCCTCAAGCTCTTAATTCACGCCTACCCACCTCTGTCTTCCCTTTGGTGATGATGTTTGTTTTTTGTGTCTGTGGCTCTGTTTACTGCATTTCAAACTTTATCACCTCTAGGATAATAAGATTTGTACCTTTATCACTTTTTTGAATAGTCACTGTTTAAGCAACTACCCCACATTTTATGGCCTTCAATACCAATTTTGTATTGATTTTTAGGAGTCAGAAACTTGGGCAGGGCTTGACTG